TGGGGGAGATGGTGGAGGACGTGGAGGGGATCGTGCCCACGTCGTTGGATGCGAGCCCGGGTGCGGGAGGGCGCCGTATTTTGCGGCGACGTGGACGGCAATGGCGGTTGGGGTTGGCCGGCGAGAGGTAGGAGGAGGAGCTGACGGGTGGGACCGCCGGTCCCACCTGTCGGCGAAGGGAGAGAAGGAGGGATGCAAAACAGACTTTTGCGAGCGGGCCAAGTGAGAGGGGAGCCGGCCCGAGAGAGGGGGGGGAAGGAGAGAGGGGCGAGCGGGCCAAGGAGAGGAGGAGGGGGATTGGGCCGGGCGGCCTAAAAACAAAGAGGAGGAAATTTTATTGCTTTTCTTTTTATTTTAATTGATAAAATGAACTTTGTGACTTTAAAACTATTTCTCGAGCTCCGAAAATTCACGGAAAATTCCGGAGAGCACATTAGGGCACAAAGAATATTACAAAATATTCCCGGCCAATGATTTTTAAGGGAAAATTTTAATTCTCCCATTATTTCACTTGATTAAATTGATTTAACTTTTATTTAATTTCTAGAAAATGTATTATTAATGATTTTTAAACCCGAACGAAAATCGGGGCGTTACATCAATGGGGGTTAATTTCCCCTATTTAATTTTGGAATCCCATGAGCGAATCACACGGATTTGAGGGAGGAAAGGAGTAGGGTTCGCACGGGAGAGAGAGAAGCCGGGCGGCGGCTGGAGGAAGAAGGCGACGGCGGCCTGGCGCGTGGGCCCCACGCGGGCGCGCGCTCAGCGCGCGTGCAACGCACGTGCGCGGGAGGGAGGGGCGGCTCGGGCAGGGGGGGGCTCGGCTAGGCCGGGACACGGCCCAGGAGGAGAGGAGGGGGAGGCGGCCTGGGCCGGGCAGGCCGGGAGGGGAGGGGGGGGAAAGAGGCAGCCCGGGAGAGAGAGGGAGGAGGAAGCTGGGCCGAGGGAAAGGGGAGCCCAAGAGAAGGAGGGAGAGAAGGAGAGGGAGAGAAAAAGAGGGAGGAGAGGGAAACTTTGGGCTGGGCTTGGCCCAAAGGAGGAAGAGGATTTATTTTTTTTTAGGTTTTCCTTTTTAGTAAACTTTGATAATTGTTTTTGTTGCTTAATAATTATTTCCGGTGCTCTGAAAATTCAAGTAAAATTTGAGGGCTCCTTTTTGACCAAGGAGAATTTAACAAAAATTCTCCGGGCCACATTCGAATTTTTCTTGTACGTATTTTAGTGTTTGACAATTTCTTTCCGAATTTTAATTAATTCTATTATTCCTTTTAGAAAATGATTTTTATTTCGGGATGAATTTATCAGGACGTGACAGAGATCGTGCTCCGGCGGTGTTTTGGGGAAACGGAGCGGAGGTTGAGGGGCGGGTGGCGCCGCGAATCTAGCGGCGCAAATGTCACTGTGCGAAGGCGACTAGAGCGATGGCGGCGCATGGCCGGAGATCGGCGACGAGCGGCGAGGGGACAATTTTTAAGCGTTGAAAGTTCGGGAAAAGAGTGGAAAACGAGAAAGGGAAGGAAGGGGATCCTTTTTATGGGCTCGGGAGGCGCTACTCGAGGCCGAGAGAAGTGGATTTGGAGGGAGAGGGAGGCAGCAACGTGGGTAAAGTAGAGTTGAATCGGCGTTGTTTCTTGCCGGGGAGTGGGGAGAAGGTGGAGGAGGTGGAGACAACCTGCGTCCGCGTCGTTGGAGACAAAGGCGGGCACTAGAAGTGCGCGAGAGAGGTGGTGACGAGCGGGGGAGTGGTAGTTGCTGCTCGGGCCGAAAGTAAGGGATGACCTTTACAGGTGCCCTGTCGGCAGCACAAGTGAGAGGACAAGGCTAAATGAACTTTGCGAGAAGGAAGAGGCAAGCTGGGCTAGAGTGGGATGGGAGGAGGATTTGATTTGGCTGGGAGGAGAAAGGAGGACGGGCCGTCCCGTGAGGGAGGGGAGGAGGACAACGGCCCAAGGGAAAAAGGAAAGATTTTGATTGTTTTTTAGTTTAATTAATATCTGAAATAATGTTTATATTATTAAAATTATTTAGTCAGTTCCGAAAACTTATGGAAAATTTCAGATGTAATTTAGGGCACGGATAATATTTAAAAAAATATTTCTAGCTATGGTTTTCAAAAGAAATTTTATTTCCCTCATTAATTTCACTTGATAAATTGCTTCAAATTTTAATATAAATTATAGAAATAAATTATTAAATGATTTTTCTGCGTTGCATCATCGAGACAACAATAATCAGCACCGTACTCGTGACCACGGTCGTGATCGACGAGACCGACAAAGTCACCAGGACGAAAGATACTCCCTTTCAAATGGATATTGAAGTGCTAGCTCATTCACGTGACGTCATGGGGTGAAAAGACGATTAGGCCATTCACAGTGCGCCACTAAATTTTGGTATTCTTCGCATGCCTTGTAGATAAAAAATGATATAAGCTACATGCTCTACAGTGCAGTTACTTATAATGTGGGTCCTACCGGTACCAACTTTTCACTTTTCATCTCCCCACCCACTCTCTCTCTCTCTCCTCTACTACTTTCCCCATCGGCAGAGACACAGAGCAAACGCTGCAGAGAGCGAGGCGCGCGGCGGCGCAACCGGAGCCGCCTCTCCTCTCTCCCCGTCAGCCCCGCGCTCCCCTCCTCCTCCTCGCCCCTCTCCCCTAGCGGCGACGTCGCCAGCGGTGGATCAAGAGCGGCGTGAGGCGCGAGCATCGGGACGGCCCGAGCAGCCCTAGTGGCGGCGGTGGATCGATGGCGGCGCGAGACGCGAGCGGCGACGGGACGGCCCGAGTGGCAACAACAACGCCGGGCAGCCCTTACGGCGACGGCGACGGCGCCGGCGGCGGATCAAGCTCGCCAGCTCCAAATCGTTTTCTTTTCTTTTTTGGTTTTGGGATTTGGGGTCTGTGCTATGGGCTCGGTTTTTGGATTTGTGAATATGTGATCTTGTGCAGCAGGGAGTTTGATTTTGTAGAGATGGCTTGATTTTGAGAAATTTGGGCATAGGGTTTGGAGTGCTTGGAGAGAGATGGAGGTGGCCATGAACAAGTTGTTAGTTATGGTGGTGGCCTTGCCGGCGCCCGTGGCTGCCGGAGTTTTCCCTCTCCCCACTTCCCTCCGGCGCCAGCGTAGATTGGGGAGACGAGGCCATGAAGCACGAGGCCACAGCCCCCACAACACAGCCGCGCCATTCTCCCTGTGCTTTCCAAGCCAGCACGATAAGGACGTTTACAGTGCATACATGTGGCATTGACGTACATGTATGCCTGTAAACGCCCTTACCGTGCCGGCTTGGAAAGGCGTGACGTGATATGCAGATGCGGTCCTCTTCCTCCTCCAAGGACCAAGTCCACATGCACCGTTCCACGCCACTCGAGGACGGGGCGGGGCGGGGGCGGGTTGGGCTGGAACGGCCCCGACCCTGACCCCCGAACTCTCCACCCGGCCCCAGCCCCGAGTGGACATGCAGGTGCAAATCAGTCCCCAGCCCGGCCCCTGCGGGGCCCCGAAACCGACCCGGCCCCCGCAGTGAGTAACAACTCAATCAAATCAGCACAAAATGAATACTTGAATAGCATCATAAAAATTTCAGCAAGAACACATATTGAAGTATTGATCTATCATTCCATCGTTGAAGCATTAAAGCACAAGCATGCATGACCTCCACAATTCCACAAATACTGACATTCAATAATCAATACACAAACAGCACTTCAGTACTTCACCATTCAGTCTAACACTCAGCCAGCCAAGCAAACACACCACACACACATGAGTTCAAGCAATCAAGCCTTCAAGGTTCAACAGTGCGTGAAGCTGTGAATCCCAGAGCCGGCTGCCGCGCTTGTCCGGCTGTCCCCTTGCCGGCCCCGCACCTGTCCCCTCGCGCTCGCGGCTCGCCACGGGCAGCCGGACGCCGCGCCTCTGCGCCGCACGACCGCACCCTCGCCGGCCGCCGCCGCCCTCGCCACTCGACCACGCAGCTGGAAAGGAGAGCCGGAGGGATAGCAGGAGGGACAGAGGGAGAGCAGGAGGGGAGAGGAGGGGAGGGGAGAGGGGCAGAGGGCGACCTGCAACGGCGAGATCCAGAAGTTCGCCGTGCACCCTGGCGTGCTGCCGTGCCGCCGCCTCTGCCTGGGTGCGTGATGCCGATGCGGACTAGAGGGGAGATGTTGAGATGGGGAGTTGGAAACTGGGGAGGCTAGGGTTTGTTTTTATCCCTCACTATTTTATTGGGTTGGTGGGTTGGGCCTTGTATGGGCTATATTTGAATGTTTAATATACACCCCCGGGTCCCGCGGGTGAACTTTCCCCCCGGCCCCTACCCGCAAAAATGCAGGGCCCGGCCCCGCCTCCCCCGCGGGTGAGAAATTGTACCTGCCCCCACCCCGTAGGGGCGGGTCCCGTCACGGGGAAATTGCCATCCCTGGTCCACTGAGCCATGCGCCCATGCAGCCACACACGGAGTGGTAGACTTGTAGTAGTAAAAAGCGAAATAGTGTAGTACGTCAGTTTAATATTCTTACGTGTAGGAGTACCTCGTTTTTAATTTTTTTTAAAAAAACATTATTTTTTTTAAAAACGCTTTTCTCTCATGAGGCAAGCAGGCCTGCAGGCGTGCGTGACGTGGCCGAGCCGTCGGTCGGTCCGGGTGCCGTGTCGTACGTGCATCTGCTCCACACGAAGCCGCGCGATGCACGTTCTCTCGGCCCACGGCCCACGGCCCACCAACACTATGAGCCGTTGGTTTTCACCCCTTTAATCACCCGATTCGAAACGGAAGGGGTGCGAGATTACCGGGGGATTAATTTCTTACTATCTTAATCACGAAGCATATTCCGTTTACCCCCGTCGAGGGTCTAACGGTGCCATGCACGGAGAGGGTCGCTAAGCCTGTATCCAGACGGAAGCCGAACGGCGTTACCTAGGTACGCGTTCCCATCAAGGCATCAACCCACCTCAGCCCTAAATCAGGTTGGAGGAGGTGGTATTTATAGTGAGTTACCCCTCTTCTTCCCCTCGTCGCCGCCATGGCCGCCTTCCTCGATCCAGAGCCGAGACAACCTAGCCATCTCCTCGATTCAATCGTGCTCTGCCCCGCACGGTTCCATGGCTGTTCTTCTTCATATGTGTTCGTCCAAGGATTTCCTGGCCGGCGCCGTTCGAGAGGGGAGTAGTCTCTGTCCGGGGCGGGCTGGCTTGATTTCTGCCGGCGGCGGTGGTTTTGGCTGTCTCCCGGCTCTCCTCCGGTAGAACAACGGCCGGCAAGCCGGCGATGATTAGTCAGCTGTTCTTCCCCCATCGCTTCCTCAGATCCAGACACGTCTCCTTCCTCGATTCAAACTCTCTCTGCCTATGTGTCGCTGCCGCGTCTTCCCAATCTAACCTGGTATTTTTTTTAGTTCTTTTTCTTTTTTGTTCTTCAGCATTTGCTTCCGTATATAAACAACGGTTGAAACTTTTTTTTTTGACGTGCAGGTGAACTGCATCTTCATAGAGTTTTTTTTTATCACATGGAATGGAGCAAGCGTACGTTTTTTTGTTCATACGTTTTTCTTGATTGTTTTCTTTATATTATTTAACATGCGAAAGTTTTTGTTCTCAGCTTTTCTCTACGCTCTCTTTTTCTTTGTTCTTTAGGTTTTTCTCTATTATTTTCTTTCTAGTATTCAACACTAGTGTAGTTAGGCTGCGCCCACGTAGTGGGACTCCGACTCCCACTGGCTAAACGAAAATGCTAACAAACAGTTCTATTTAGATGACTAAACTAGAAAGATGAAAGGATTAGAAGTATTTCGAACTAGTTTAATTTTTTCGCCGGGAATTAGTTATGACTAAACTAGAAAAATGAAAGGATTAGGAGTATTTCGAACTAGTCTAAACAGCCCCTTGATGACTCGATCCCTCAGATTTTCCTATACGGGGCTCGAATTTTCCAGAGGGGCTAGATCCCGGAGATCTTGAGTCGCTTCGCCTACTCATCCGTGAGGCGCAGCGAATAACACTCTCCAAGATTATCCCTTGATTGAGTTTCTTTTTTCCCTTCATTTTTACTTGGTTTCTTTGGTATAGGCTGACCCGTGATGGCATGAATCTTTGAGACCTGAGAATTTTCTTCCTTGATGAAAATCACAAGCATGATCCCTGAGGGCCTTAGACTGACTCTTCTTTTTTTTCCTTCATCTTAGATGACATTTATTTTTCATCCTTTCATGTGAGATCTTAGGCTGTGTTTGATTCTTTTAATCAAACATCTGTTTTGTTATGGTATTATGAATGATGAAATGCACTGGGCTCCGAGCAGTGAATTACGCTGCGTTTTGATGGATATGCATTTGCCTAGAAAGCATTGACTGACACTTTACCACCTACGAACAATATCAGCATCATCTATACCTAAGATCGGCATTGTTTATAGTATGGGGTAATTTTTTTCTTAGATTGAAACTGTGAACCACAGCTCCTTAAGGCTGCATTGTACCAAGATTAGGGTTCTACCTTTGCCCTCGTCTTGATTGCCATTACAGGCTGTAGCCAAATTAATTAACGTGGAAGTAAAACTGGTCGGGTTGCCAATTGATTCCATGGGCATTCCGCTTACCGAACTTCCCATATGTCCCTGAATATATCACCACCATATGTTGTTTTGACTGGTTTTGAGTTCTCAATCTACTGCTAGGTGGTAGTGCCATATGTTGTTTTAACTGATTTTGAGTTCTCAATCTACTGCGAGGGGTAGTGGAGGGGAATGGTTCATGTGTCTGCCATTCTTGGTACACCCTCGCGAACAGCAATATCCTGCCGCTTTCTTCCTCCGTTTAGGATTTGCAATGATCTGCTTTCAACTCCCTTCTGATCGTTTTATATCCTGCGAGGAAGATTGTGGCGGGTGGTTCATCATCCGGGCAACCTGATGTTAATGTCGCAGGTTGCGTCATTGATGTTTACATTTGTATCGCCCTACGTGAAACCATATAAACAGGTTGTAGAATGGCGCAAAGAACCTGACTCAGCAAAACATTCACCTTTATACTACTATAAAATATATTATAAGATCCCAGACGCATGCAACTTTACAAGTCCGTGCATAGAAATTTTGTAGGAACTTTTGTAGAGTTTGAATTGTTTGTAACAACAGATATTCCTGCAGGTTATTTGCTTTCATAGAACAGGATAAGGATGAAAATTTGTGAGATGTCCCACAGTTTCCACGTTCGTCTGACCAGGTACATTTCTGTTCTTAGTCAGTCCTTTTCCTGAATTTTATCTAGCGTTCATTTAAGTTTTATGTTTTGAATTCTTGTTTTCTGTCCACGCTTTGTTTGCACGACCTGCCTTTCGTACTCTTCACGTGACTCAAGGATTTTATCATACTGCACCAAAGCACCTTCGTTGAATGCTTTTGCGTTAATTCCACTGTGAGGGTTAGTCGGTCATGTGGCTCGAATGAACTTCTATTAGTCGTTTTTCCTTTTTGATTTGATATGTTATTGCTGCGCGTGTCTTTGGAAAATTCGTAAGCAACTCGAGCCCCTTGATGAGTCGATCCCTCAGATTTTCCTCTAGGGGCTCGAATTTTCCAGAGGGGCTAGATTCCAGAGATCTTGAGTCGCTTCGCCTACTCTCATCTGTGAGGCGCCGTGAATAACATTCTCTAAAATTATCCCTAGATTGAGTTTCTTTTTTCCCTTCATTTTTACGTGGTTTCTTTGGTATGGGCTGCCCCGTGATGGCATGAATCTTTGAGACCTGAGAATTTTCTTCCTTGATGAAAATCACAAGCATTATCCCTGAGGGCCTTAGACTCTACCTCTTCGTTTTTTTTCCTTTCATCTTAGATGGCATTTGTTTTTTATCCTTTCATTGAGATCTTAGGATGTTTTAATCTTTTAATCAAACATCTGTTTTGTTATGGTATTATGAATGATGAAATGCACTGGGCTCCGAGCAGTGATTTACACCGCGTTTTGATGGATATGCGTTTGCCTAGAAAGCATTGTCTGACACTTTACCACCTACGCACAATATCAGCACTATCTCTACCTAAGATTGGCATTGTTTATAGTATGGAGTAATTTTTTTCTTAGATTGGAACTGTGAACCACAGCTCCTCAAGGCTGCATTGTACCAAGATTAGGGTTCTACCTTTGCCCTTGTCTTGATTGCCATTATAGGCTGTAGCCAAATTAACATGGAAGTAAAACTGGTCGGGTTGCCAATTGATTCCATGGGCATTCCGCTTACCGAACTTCCCATATGTCCCTTAATATATATATCACCACCATATAACGGGCATACCTTGCACACATGTAATTTTTTTGATCATTTCATGGAGGGGGCTTGAATTGGAACAATTTGTTCATGAGTACTTTCTCTGTTGCAGCATTCAAGAAGGCATATGCTGGACATGTGGTTCCAATGACAGTCAAGGCTCAATGAATGGGCTAAGGTTAATGTTGGAAGCCATTAACCTTAGCAGTGAAGTATGCTAAGGTATTATGAATGATGAAATGCACTGGGCGCCGAGCAGTGAATTACGCCACGTTTTGATGGATATGCGTTTTGCCTAGAAAGCATTGTCTGACACAAGAATCAGCAGCACATGTTTAAGTTCAAAGTTGTACTTCTTTTACAACTAAAATGTGTAAATTCAAATTTGTAACCCAAACTGACCTGAAAGCAGGTTTTGTTTGGCATGTTCACATTTTGCAGGTCCACACCTACAAGATCTGGAGCATCTGTGGTCACTCAGAGATACATTAAGTTTTGGCTTTTGTATATGTTGGCAAGAAGGCTGCTGCTGGATGCAAGCATGCCCCTTTAACCTGACTGTATGGCACCATGCCAATATGTGCTATGTGCACTTATTTTGTATAGCTGTCTGTTGGGCTGTGTGTTATGGTGGCCAATATGTGATGTGCTCAATGGTGTCAAGTGTGGTATGGCTATGTGCTGGCTTTTGTATAGACCAAATTTAGTGGCTTTTGCTGTAGGGCTTTGTGGCAGTTCATCTTGGTGTGCAATGGAATTGATTTGTCCTTTTGATATGTGATTTGCCTTATGACATTTTTATTATACAAATCTCAATTGAAATTCTGTCAAAATTGTGTATGCATGCTGCCAAAATTTCTGCCAATTCTCTCTAAATTAGAGTGCTGCCAAATTTCCAGCTGCAATGCAACCAATCAATTATGCATTTCTGTCAAATTTATACTGAAATGATCACAAATTATACTCGGTCAAACAATGCAAATACAAATCAAGACATCACAATACCATCCCATAATTCATTCCTCCATGATTTTTTTCAGACATCCACATTACATTAAGCAGATTCGCATTACATATGTACCAAAATACTCTTTGCTTGCTTGCCTACTTGCTAATGACAACTACCAATATCAACAGCAAGCTTGCACAACTGTAAGGTACACTAACATTCGTCCCACTGCTGCAAATCCCTTCAATTCTAAGCCCTCAATCCCCATCGATGACATTGCTTCAACATTAAATGTCCATGTCCTGTCTGATGTTCCAGACCTACACGGCCATTGGCCAAAAATTGCGCATACTGATCTTCCCACAAAAAATCTGTAAGCATATGGTGTCTGCAAAATAAATTTTGATTGAATCAACAGACCGAACAACAAAAAATCGAATTCAACTGATTCTAAAGCATATACTCACATGCTCAAGATTAGGGCACTTTACAAACTTATTGTTTGGATTCATCGGGGTCCTCGACGTTCGCGCCTCCAACTGGGTCCCGCACAATGGACATTTGCCCAAGAGCAACTCAGTGGTGCAGCGAGGAACGATCGAAGAAGAAATAGAGCCATCCATCTTCGCCGCTTTTAGCGCTGCTTGCCCGTCGCAACCGCCAAAGCTGAGTAGGTCTTCGTCGCCACCATCGCTGAAGCCTCCTCCGCCACCGCTGCCGCTGACACAAGCTAGGGTTAAGGTTAGGGATTTTCGCTTCGGTAGTGTGGCAACGAAAGTGACTATCTCCGTTTCGACGACCGAACCGAGTTGGTATAGATGGCGACGCCCAAGGGCAATATGGGCATTTCGAAAAAATTGAGACAACTTTCAGCCGGAAAATGATAAAATAATGGGCCTGGTGTCCTATGGCAAATTTCACCGTTTTTGTAGTGTCTTGGGGTAGCGTCACGTTTTCATGGTGTCCCTCAGCTAATTACACGATTTTTGCCATATATCTAAATAAGTTTGGCAAATTTAGACAGTTACTGTGTTTTAGAATTCCTTATAATTAATTGGTTATGCCACCTTGATTTCTACATTTTTTTTGTTTCTCTAGTTTTGTATGTCAGATGGCACCACAATATAAGCGGTTATGTGCCACGTGCTAATCCTCATGTGATCTTTTGTACAAATTATATCGAAACACTACTGATTTCGTGAAGTTTACTTAAATAATGTCCATTGTTGTCTTTTAATCTATTCCTTCGGTCTAAAAAAACCAATCTAGTATTATATGTAATTTTTTCTAATACAATAAATATGGACGAGAGTATATCCAGATTCATTGTATTAGAAAATATCTCGTCTAATACTATATATTTTTTTAAAATTTTCACGGTTCAATTTGATGATGTACAAACTTAATGCTTATTTTGCAGTCTTACGAGGGGCTTTCATGTTGATCGGATGCTGCTGATCCTAGTCGGTTCAAGAGAACACAGTTATGTTTGTTACGTTTTAAAGATGTTTGTTTGAATTCTATGAATGTAATGATTTTATCAGATCATCGAATGTGATCAAAATCTGGTAAAACCTGGTCGATGTGAATAAAATCACCAATGAGTTATTAAGCGAATTACAAGCAGATTAAAATCTAAAATTATTTCTGTTCCCACCATGTTCAGTCATGTTGGTCTGTCTACAAAGTCTTTTTTCTAAAACCAATGGTTAAAGAAGAAACCAAAGTATAGTTACCTCTGTCTGTTAATTGTGGTATTGAATTTATAAAAGTTACAAGTAACCTTAAATAACTGGAAATGCCATACCAAAATGGAGAGCTCTTTTTTTTTTTTCTATCTGCATTGGTTCAAAACAAACCACAGCAGTGAACATTTATTCCACAAGTGGCAAAATTGTATAGCAGAGTAAAGTGATGAAATCATAAGTGAATGTCTATCACCTTCTGCAGTTCTTTTCGCTTAAGGTATTCAGTAATGCATTGTTTAGGAAGATGATTTAGTAGAAAAATATTTTGTAGCCATATACTGTTACACCTGTCTGCTCACCAGCTGCCACCTCTACTCTACTAAGTGGTTCAAGGATTCTCCATGCAGTGCTCTCCAGGCATCAACAGTTCTCTTAAAAACAAACTGAAAATCAGAGGTTCTCTCCAGCATTTCCACAGCAGCTCCATAAGAAAGAGCATGGCCCTCTCATCCTAAGAACAGACAGCTCCAGAAAAGACGTTAAACAAAGAACATTCAGCAGAGAATTAACCCACACAGATTTAACAATGAGAGAGTGACTGGTAAACGCAGTTATGATTCATAACATGTAACATATACTATGGTCACATATAGCCTTCATTTAAGCCGGAAATGATCAAATACACACTAACTGATTCTATTTAATACTCCTACATAGTGATCGATCAATACATATAGATAGATAAATACTCCTAAGGGCAGCCGAATCCTCCTCCCAAGGAAAGGTCAGTCAGTGTTGGGGGCCATGACATGATACCTATGTCTCGGAGTGTTTGTAAAACCAGATGAATAGTTCAGTATAATGTTGTAGCAGTTCTACTGAAGAAGATGAGGAACAATTATTATCTTCAGGCTGCTATCCAAATCACCCTGTGAACCACACCACAGGTATAACTTGGCCATCTTGGATTTAAATAAAATCAAAGCTATAAAAGAGACGAAAGATGTCAGCTATAGGTGATTAGCAATCTTGAAGACAATGCCATAGTAGAAGATAATTATATTTAATACTATAACCAATCTGTACCCCCAACAATTAGTTAAGACAACTATAGGTGATTAGCACTGTCAACACATAACTTTAACACTGATGATAAAGTTAAGTAAACAGATGTTATGAAAATTATCACACCATATAGTTGAAGTTTGTTCAGATGCTGTAGCATCCAACAAAAAAGTATTTCATTCACTCATTTATTTGACTGAATTATTCCATAAAATGGGAAGGTAAAAGTGTTGTCAAGGACATAAAAACATTGTTAAGTGTCAGTGCAAGCGAAGAAAAGCAGATGGACCAGCAGTTGCTGTAAGCAAATCCAATTGAAGGACACATTGGACAATCAAGAAAATTTTACACATCCCTACATGTCTATAATTAATACACACAAGGATCAGTCTAAGGTAGCCATTGCCATTACAATCCATCCATCTCACCTAAAAGCTCCCAAGAAACCAACAAATCAATCCATCTCACCTAACAGCGAACAATACCATCAGGCCAAACATGACAAAGCTAACCGATCTTTCAATCAATCAATCAACCATTCAGTATAGATAGGATGGATGGTTTAAACATGTAGTCAAGATAAAAACTAATTTCTTCTTTGTTGCCCCACTTGACAATTTAAATCAAAGATGAAACAACAAAAGAAAAAAAGACAGTTAATTGTATATCTTATGGAGCTGAAAATATGCTTTTTAGCCTTTTAGGTTCATACTTTACGTTGCTTGAAGCTCGACCTCCTTGGCAGCTCCAACAGTGTCCTGTCTAGAGCATGCCTCTCAATTATCAATTGGATTCAAAAGAGACAACATTTTATTTTGTCCATGAGAATAAACTTAAAAGACCAAAATTCTAAGATCTAGATTATTTTATCCAATTCTTTGCTCTTACTACATGCTTTTCTCCTCTTCTTTTTTTTTTTTTCAAAACTAGCCTGCCGTTGCTATTGTTTTTTTATAAAAAGGTGTCTTGTTCTAAGGAGAAACAAGACTAGACCTCACAATGCCCAGTTAATCAGGGAAAACTAGACTCTCAACACTAAACTTCACCAGCTACAAGCCTACAAGAAAGGATGGCACATGCTGCTCACCCCCAAGGCACTGCAACTCCGACTAGCAAACAGAAAGAAAAGAACAAGACATCCTACACACTAGCAACAACAGGATGTCATCATCAGAGAATTAACATTCACCAGCGAGTGGTCATGAACAGAAAACATACTTTAATATCAGTGCAACCAAGAAATACAGATGGACCAGCATGCAATGCATTTTGCTGAAAACCAGAGAGGTTCTCTCCAGCATTTCAGCAACAGCTCCATAAGAAAGAGCATGGCCCTCACATCCTAAGAACAGACAGCTTGGGAAAAGACGATAAACAAAGGAGAATTAAGTAACAATGAGAGAGTGAGTGACTGGTAAATGAAATTCATCATTCATAACATGTAACATATACTATGTCGCATATGCCTTCATTCATGGAGTAGCGCAGGTTTAACAGATACAAACTGATTAGATAATAAACATAAGTATTGTAACTGCAAGAGCTGATGAACTAGGTCACAGGGAGGCATTGCATAACATAAACTGGAAACGAACAGCAATTGATACTAGCTGGTAGATACTCCCTCATTCCCTAAATGTTTGATGCCGTTGACTTGTTAAAATATGTTTGACCGTTGATCTTATTCAAAAAATTTTGTGAAATATGTAAAACTATATGTATACATAACAGTATATTTAACAATGAATCAAATGATAGGAAAAAATAAAGTACTTAAATTTTTTGAATAAAACGAATGATTAAATATGTTTAAAAAAATCAACGGCGTCAAACATTTAGAGATGGAGGGAGTAGATAGATCGATCAAGCACATAGATAGATAGATAGATACTCCTAATCCTCCTCAAAATGCAAGGAATGTTGGACATGAGTAAGTGGGTCAAAGACGATGGAGGGCGGCCCAGTCGATGCCGACCCATTCTTCCCTGGCCTGAGCCACGACCTTTTCCGTCTCGGCGTGGGCGGCCTCGTCGAACGTCTGCAGGTAGCCGCCGGTCTCCTGGACCTCGCGGCGGACCTCGTCCTGGAACTCGTCGAACTCGAGATCCAGCTTGTCGAGGTAG